AAATACTGGAAGCTTGTTTTTTTGTCAGAAGCTAAAAAAAGTAGCTGGCAGACAGTTTTCAGAAGCTAAAAAAACAAGCTGCCAGACAAAAAAAACAGCTGGCAGTCAAAAAATTGGGCTTCCAAAACTGGCTTCCAGGAGGGTGGGAGCCAAAAAAACTAGCTGGCAGATAGAAAACAAAGCTTCTCGGAAGCTAAGGGTTGTACTTGAGAGTCAAGGCACGACGCAATCGACGATCAGCGTCGGCATCATTCAAGGCTTTCCGAGCAGCATGACGCTTGGCGAGCATGTCCTCGAAGTTCTGGTTGCCGCCGAAGTGGGACGGTCGAGTGGCATCAGACAGCAAGTCACCAGCCAATGAAGGCTGATAGCCAAGCACCCATTGAGACGGTGAGAAGCCAGCAACTCCGGGAGCGCTATTCATCTGTGGGATGATGTAGCTGAGTGCTTCTTGGATGCCCGAGGGTCCATCGGCAGACATGTCATCAAGGTAGACCTCGACAGACTTTCGGATCACTGCATGGCGGCGTTCCACCAAAGCCAGGCGTTCGTGAGCTTCACCTGGGGCAACTGAGTGCTTGATGCCATGTGCTGCAGTCCATTCATCCATTTGATTGCTCAACCAGCCACGACCTTCATCAGTGAGCAGGGTGGCAGGTGGCCCAAAGTGGGCGATCCAAGCACGCTCAAGTGCCTTGATGTAGTTGTCGGTGTGCTCGGAGTTGATCAACACTGCTGCAGTGTAGCGCGTCGCGCTGTCAACCAAGCTCATGATGGCATACTTGATGGTGCCACGTCTCAACCACATCACATCGGCTTGGAGGACATCGTTGAAGTTCAGCACAGTGGGCATAGCAGCTGGTGCAGCTTGTGATGGCTTCTTGTATTTGGCACAGGCAAAGCATCTGTATGATCTTGCAGCTTGAAGGACGGCTTCGGAGGCAGCACGAGATTCCAGCAGTTCGACCAGTGCGGCCGGTGCAGGATGGCCAAGATTCCTGTGAAGTCGTTGAACCGTGCGGATGGCGTCCTGCTTGGTGTGACTTCGAAGTCGAATCAGGGAGCTGGTTGTCTCTTTCTCATCCTCAGCGGCATGGCCAGTTTCCCACTGGATGGGAGGTTCATCTACTGCCAGTGCTGCAGCCAGGGTCGCAGCCAGTGCAGGCTGGTACTCTTCAAGGTATCGGGTGCGAGATCCATAGCCGGGCGCAGATCCCTCCAAAGGACAGTGTTCGTGGTCGTGCTGGCACTGGAGGGTGAAGGCGTCTTGGACGGCCTGTTTGGTCGTGAGGAAGGTGGTGTTCTTTTGAACTGGCTTCCAAATGCCATCGTCATCTAAGCATTGTGCTCCATAGCGGCACTGGGAGAAGTCGGCTCGTCGGCCGGGAAGATCACGTAGAGCTCGGGTCTGCCAGGAGAGTGCATGCTTTGGCTGCTCGATGGTGGCGTGTCGACCACCCTTCACCTGACATAGGTAGCTCCGTCGGGTGAACATGAGATGCCGTTCATGATGTCGATGTCGAGCGGCCTTCAAAGCTTCTTTCTGAGCAGGTGTCCGGCGTCCGAGTGACTGCATGCGACTCCATAACTTGCATTCAGGTGCAATGAGCAGTTCATCAGGTGCTTCTTCTTCAAGGAGGGCCAGGAACTCATCATGGTGTTTGAGCTGTTCGAAGTCTCAGCCGGTGTCATAGGAGAAGCAACGGACTTCCATTCCCAAGGACTCAGCCACTTGCGCTGTTCGCGCTTTGCCACAGTAGACCTCCCAGAGCAATCGAGGTCGTTCTGGCTGATGTAGCTCCTTGGTGACATAGGCAGACAGGTCGTTGAGCTGTGTGGTGAGGTGGACGTCCATGGTTTTCAGCTCATGACGACGGAGAGGCTTTGTCTTCTCCTCATCGATGATTTCAGCCTTCTCGAATGCGGCAAAGCCACTTTCGGCCAGCATGAAGTCGTTGAGCTTGTAGTCATCATCCTGCTCAATCCCTTGGTCGTTGGTCCTCACGACAAACTCAGGCCGCTCGGGGTCGTAGTTGATGCTGAGGTGCTCATTGGTGAGTGACCAGAGGTATTCACCTTGTCTTCCCAAGGTGGCAGGCATCCATGGTGAGCTGCCGATCCGTAGTCGCCTCTGGGCGAAATCCATGGTCATTCCAAGTGCTTCGATGATCGGACGGCCACAGAGCATTGGCGTATTGCCGGGCAGCAAGAACAGTTCGATGGTGCCGTACTTGCCATCCACGAACGTGGGAATGTGAGCAGACCAGTCGGACCACATCGATGCATCGCCTCCGAACTGGAAGCGGCGTCGGCCTTTACTCATCTTGATGACCTCAATAATGAAGTCCAAGGTGGTCAGGTGATCGAGGTATCTTCGGAAAGGTCGCTATAGCCAGACAGGAATTTAAGGCGCTTGCTCCAGGGTCAAGCATCACACATTCTGGCCTTTCCGCACCATTGGAGTCCTGGAAGATCAGGAGTGCGCTCTCATCAATCTTTCGCTCCAGGGCCATGGCCTCGGTCGTTGACGAAGCCGGGCGTTTGGCACCAGGAGTGCGTGTAGTTGGGCTCGATGAACTCTGCGGGCAATTGGCTGCCCAGTGGCCAGCTTGGCCGCAACGAAGGCAGGTCATGTTTGCTCTTGCACGCCCTTTTGGATCTGCTTTGCCAGCTCCTTGAGGTGGATAGCGGATCGTGGTCTTTGACTTGCCACTTTTGGACCCGCCCTTCCCTTTTCCTTTTGTCCGCCAGGAGGTAGCCGAAGCTGGTGAGGTAGCATTAGATGAAGATCCTCCTTTTGAAGGCGAGACATTTCCTCCATCAGTCAGGGCGACAATGGGAAGGTATCCTCGAGCTGTTTTGAGTTCTTGGAATCGACGACGGGCGTCCGTGTAGGAGGCGAAGGCAGCATCATATGCGGCAGCCATCTGTGAAGGGCTGTTGACCTCATCATTATCGGGCCACGGTTCTTCTTCACCATAGTAACCAGCATCGTGGTCAAAGTCCTGGCCATCATCATAGACCTCATAGTCGTGACCTTCTTCAGCCCATTGTTCATCCTCCTCATAGTATCCAGCTTCCCAGACATCATCATCTGGATACGCCTCGTCCTCATAGTCATCAGCCATGTAGGCTCTCTGCTTCCAAGAGTGTCCACCACCAAAGCGGCGATTCCGCTCAGCATTCCAGCCTCCTCCCTTGTAGTCCTGGCCAAGGATCAAGTAGAGAGCCTCAATCACCGCGTTCTTCTCCAGGTTTGGTGCTTTCAGGGTGATGAGTTGTCTTTGCTCTCTTGAGAGGCCGGAGCGACGAAGATGCCAGCCTTGAACCGAAGCTGGAAGCTCGATGCGATGCTGTTGCAACCTTCTATATGCTTCTTCGTGATCGGCCACGTACAGCAACAACGTTTGGCCAGGGGAGCGCTGCAACAGGTTGAAGTATGCTTCAAAGTCCGTGGGGAGCTGTACCTTGGCGTCGTAGGAGAAGTTGGCATCTAAAGTTTCGATGACCTTCTTGAAGGCGTCTTCTTTCTCCAGTTCTTCGATGCCCCAATCTTGGAACAGGCGCCAAGTAACTCCAGTGAAGGAGCCCACGATGTTCAGCACACTTTCATTGGCTCGCTTGGTCAAGGACATCTTCCGGTGGTAGAGCTGAATTCTCTGCCTCCATTCTCTGTAGTCGGCCGGTTGGCCGGTGAAGACTGGCACGTAGCTGTCCCTCAGGTCCATATAGGAGGTGCCATCTTGTGAGCTCGATCCCGATGCCGGCGGCTTGTCTTTCTTCTGTCCATGAGGTGGCATGTAGCTGTTCACAGGGACAAAGGGCTCTGCCTGGATGTGGTGAACAGGTAGTGGATGGATCCACCAAGCGAGAGCGAGAACTGCTAATGCCAATCGTGCCGTCGGTCTCAGCCGGGGTGATGAGCTCGTGGTCGCGTAGTACTCCGGTAGGGAGCCCGCAGGCTCCGCTACCAATGTCGAATTGGTGTAGCGGCTCACGAGGTCCACTGCAAGCAAGAAAGGTGGAACGAGCGAAGTCGAACCGGGGGCGGCAACTAAATGCCAAGACACGTAGCTCCTCTTTTCAGCTCTTTGAGCCCGCCCTCTGCGGACAGTCGAACTAAGCTTCGGACGAAAGTGAAAAACATGCGACATGAACTGTCGACTTGATGCTCAGCGAGCATCTTCACACTAAAGAACAATCAGTCTTGAAGTCACCACGAACTCTTTCAACGCGTTACATGTTTCTTGAAATGTAGCAAACGACCCAATTAGAATAGTCTAGTGTTTCAAAGACCTACTTTCATTACTACAGTAACTGTTAGAGTTTTCTTTGGACTTGTGCTTGCCAGAAGACAAAAAATTGAATATAGATAATCAAGATTAGTCATCATTGACTGACAAGAACACATATCGCGATAACCAGGAAGAACGAGTCTTACCTAGATCTAAGGGGAAATGAACATCAATAAACAATTCAAGTGACTGTATTCATTACTATCAACAACGGGTCTTTGATTTAAATAATGAAACAGGGTTGACCACATATGCCATTTAAACTATATATTTAATCATTATATATATATATACATATACTTTTTTCTGTATTTATTTTGAGGTGCAGGAATGTATTTTCAAGGAAACAAGGTCTCTCAACAATTAACAGTACTATTAACATCGTTACAACGTATAGCTGCTTTCTAAATACCAGTACGTAGTACGTAGCAATATTATTGACAAAACCCTTTGTCGGGAAACATAGTGCTGTTTAATTATTAGGGAGTGGAAAAAACAAGTCAAGAATCTCTTCCATTGACGGAGGGCAAATCAAAACAAATGAGTGCCATTGCAACCATACATGCAGTGGGTAATCTATACAAATAGGTTGACCATGCAATTCTTCATCGCAAAAAGGCACTGCAAAAGATCAAGGATTAAGATCAGATTGCAACAAACGCAGCAGAATGCTGTCTGCAACACACACACACACTCTCTCCCTGCCATCATCTGCATGAAGTCTTCATCGAACAATGCAGCGAAGTCATCCTTCGTTTCGTCAGTCATCCTGCCATTCCATGCATAGAATGGAAAACTAGATGAAGGAGCTTGGCACTACTGTCTTTGCTATGTGCAACCCCGGCAGCATAGGCAGACTTTGTTATTATTTCCGGCCTATTTGCAAGGAAAGCAAAAGTTGCGGAAGTCTCTTTTGAACTGATGCCAAGCTATCCAACTTGCTCCTGTCCACAACCCGAATTGAAGTGAAAAAAGCGTCAACGCGGTCCTGCCCTCAAAATCCACCGGGGCAGGCGTTTCTTGCCCCAAAGACACGACCTCAATAGACGGAAAGGTACATTTAAGCAAAAATTGGGACAGATTTTGTCAGTCCAAATCAGAGTCTGAGTCTTCCTCTGGTGACTTACTTCCAAGTCTCGCACTAAATGTCCCAACCAAGCCAGATGAAAGATTTGATGCATTGCGGGACTTGTATCAGCAATTTGCCCTCAGCGCAAGCTTGCTGGCCGCGAAGCGTACCGTGAAGCGTAATGCGAAGCGTACCGCGAAGCGTAGCATTGACGCCATCAGACCACCTACCTGCTACAGTGTCGATGTGAAGGTCAAGCTGAGGGTAATACACCTGGTCACTGTAAAATAAGACTCACGAAAATACACCTTCTACGTCCTCTGGTTGGTTGTGTCTGAAGAACTTCTGGCCATTATCAGTGAAGATTCTCTCATTGGAGGATGATGCAATGATTCATGATGCTTTTCATACAAAACAACTGTTTTTCTCAGAGCCAATGCACCACAAATTCACACCGCAGCTTAATCAGACTTTGTCTATGTGACACCAGCAACAAGGACAACGGCAAAGATCAAAATGGGAGCTCTGCAGTCTTTTTTGCCTAAACATACGTGTTGGAGCTTGGCACTAGCTAGGTGGACATCAAAAGTCACATTGAAATCTGCCAACTGGTCGACAAACCAAGGAACACACCTGCAAATAGATGGAGCATGTTCATCCTAACAACGGTTGAGCTGAACCACATTCAGTCTGAAAATAGAATGGTGTTCACTGCGCGAAATCCTGTGCAAAGCTGCGCACATCCTTGTCCAGCTCTTCTGGCTTTCCAGAATGTGCCACTGCAAATGGTGCGCTGTACACACTAGAAGCTTTCTTCATTGGTGGTTGCACCTATTTGCGCTCCAGTCCTGCGTGCGCAAGAACGCCAATAGTCCCAATAGATCCCAATAGCTAGTACCCATAGTTGTTACCTCTTTCTTTTCTTTCTCTGAAAAGCTTTGGACCATGTAATGTAAGGTCTTTTGTTTCTCCTGAATTCTTTCCTCCTTCTTTCTTTACAGCAAGGCTTTTGAATGTGTTTCGGCTTGGAGTTGAAACCTGAGTGCCTGAGTGCTTAAGCTGCGGACCCAGATCTACCTGATGAGGATCGGGCCAAGTATGATAAGAAGAACCTGACAACATGTGCTTCTTCACAGCTTCCAGGAAACCAACGGTGGCTAGACTTGGTCAATTTGGGTGGAACATTCAAAGCTGAGGCCCTTGCAATTAGGATGACGATGGACAAGCAGCACATCCACTTGCGGCCCTGCCATGCTTCAAGCTGACTGAATCGAACGCCACCAACCTGTTTGCACATGTTTGCACCTTTCAGGGCACAAAAAGCATCCGTCCCTAGCTTTCTGTCGGACTGCGAAATATGGACGTCCCTTAAAGATGAGACCCGGCCATGGAATTACGGAATTACCTTTGCAGAGCGCTACCCTGTAGCCTGCAGCATCAACTTGCGTGTCTTGATGAGTTCCTGCAGCAACTTCCATGGGCAAACAATGATTGTTTGTTTGTTTTTTGTGTTTGTGTTTAAAAAAGAGCTAACCTAACCAATGCTAACTTAGCTAACCGTTTATAGAACATAACTTTGTTCTTTTAGCTTTGGCAATACTTGGCCTGCTCAGCTTTGGCCGTGTAGCCTTTGGTGTTGTTCACATGAACCTCATGGCCAACTTGCACAAGGGGTCATGGCCACCAATGCATGCTGGTGCAGGTTGCCGTGTCCACCGTGCCTCAATGGCATCCAGCATCTCCCCCTGTGCATCCACAAGAACTGCCATCTCTTCGAACATCTGTGCCTCAAGCGTGCATTCTACCGTTGCATTCTACCCGTACCTCGCACAGTGTGTAATCTCCATCAACGAGCCATCAGGTTTTCTGCTGTATTCTCGTCAAAAGCTCTTTGTTGACACCCGACCCTTGCCCAATCTGGTGGGCTCAGTGCCACGGATGCGACCAAGTCTGTGACCAAGTCAGCGATGCTCTGCTCCAAACGCACAATGTCCTCACAATTTGATGCACTCTGAACTCTACCGCGAATTTCCTTTACATATTTTTGCACAACGCTTGTCGCTTTGCTCGTGCCTTGTGCTTGTCTTGGATACGGCGAACCTGTTTCAGGATCCATAGGATGGATTTAAACGCGGCGTCGGTGAATCATGATGAATCAAAAAAGAGCCCGCAAAGCCCTACCTCGTCTAGCAGCAAAGCATGTGTGCCGGCCATCCTGTCACTTGAGCAGCAATTGCATTCCAAACACTTCCGAAGTAGGTGCCAAGGCAATGAGCAATGAGGCAATGAGGCAATGGCTTCTTTGCGACCATCAAAGCTGCAGTTTGTCCATCGGAAATCATCTCTTGGCGCTGCTCCTCTGTTGCCTCTCAAGACTTTAAAGAGTGAAAGTGGCTTTCTGAATGTACTCTGCACGTCGAATGAACCAAAGACTAGTGAACGTCTCCGCTTCCTCTGGCATCAGGATTTGCATTTCCCGGAGCTGCCGCTTCTCCAAGGTGCGCTTGAAGTTCATCTGGGCCTGTGAGCTTGTATCGACAAAGCACCTGACAGGTTTCTTCATCTTTTCTTGTTTTTCCCCATGTACAGTGGCAACGCCAGATCTTTTGGAAGAGTAAGGGACGGGTTCTGGATTGAAGGTTTGCTTCGGGGCAGAGTGGATTCCTCGCCAAGTTTCCTCTATATATATATACTCGGAAGTCTACAATCCTTCCACTGGGTTGCAGCGTGTGCCGCCCGCTCTTTGCTGTTTTGTGCCTGGCTCTTTCCGGTGGCGCAGGTGCAATAGATGTTGCGACTTTATGTTTTGCTGGTCCCAAGTCGCTTTTTCGTGGCAGGTGTGCAGCACTTTCGACACGTGTAGTGCAGGGTGAACTTCTGAGAAATGCCTTAAGTCTGGCCAAAATAATCATTCGACATCTTCCAGTGTGAGGGTGCCTGGCAGACACACTTTGTGGATGTTGAAGCACCGATTTTGCGGCGAGTGCAGCACATCGCAGCGGGTGCCGGACACATCTCCTCCCACTTCAATCACCACCAACACCACCGCCGCCACCCCAACCCCCAATGGGCAACACAAGCACTTCGGGGGGAAGTGTAGCACAGCTTGCTCGGATTCTGAGTTCAAGGACGCCTTCTTGAACCCTCACTGCAAGAAGCATTTTTAATGGACAATTTTGTCTTTTTTTCCAAGCCAGGCCCTGCACCAACATCTAAATTCTAAATGATTAAACACGCTAAGCATCAAAGGTCCAAGGAAAACTCAGTGGCTCAGCCTTCTGAAAGTCCATGAGGAGCTGTTGATGCCTTGGATGCACAAATGAAGGCCTGCAGAATTCCTGCCCATGGGCCTATCGGCTCAGATGCGCTCCACCCAAATGGAGTGGAGAGGTATTGCGAGGTAAAGTGGCAAGTGGACCCCCTTTGGGCTTCAAATCTAATAGCGCGAACCTTGGAGCGCCGGCCTCCAACCTAAAACAAGTAACTTTAACACAACATGGAAGGCTCATTACATTTACATATGATATCATACGCAAATGATCGGGTGCTTTTGACTCTTCTGTGCTCACCTTTGGCATGTACGATGTTCTTGATCGAAAACAATCAAGCTTACAAATCAATGGTCAGCTGCTTTCTAAGCAGTCTGATTGCGGCCTTGCACGCTTGGTGCATGTTGGTTTGGATAAATTCTGCTGGCGGCTACAATGCTTGCGGTGGACATCCGCCATGAGTCAACCTAGCGCAATGGGGTCTGAGATGATCGCTTCTTGGCCATCGCCTGCTGCATATTTGTCCTTGGTGTCAAACAGCTCGTGAACATGACTCGGTTAGAAGCTGTTGACTGTTTCAACATGTTTCTCAACATGGTCTGCAGTGTTCACACTGCCCTCGCTTTCTGGCCTGATTTTAATTTGCGCAGAATTCGGCTGCTTCGCAGCTTCTTCCTCGCCAGCAACTGTTGGTCGCAGGTCTCAATCTCGATAAATCCATGTGCAGCTCTGTGCCATGCTGCCTCTGAGCGGAGCTTCAGAAGCTCCAAGCCACGCTTCACGTCGGCCACTTGCTGGTTGGTCTCCTGATTGGTCGGAACTCACGAGAATGACATGGAACAAACGCTTTGACTCGCTGACACTGGGCTGACACCAGAGAAAAAGATCCGTGCTTCTAAGCGGACGCGCCTCGACCAATTTATTGAGATTCTCAGAAACCTCAGCTTCCCTCTCCTGCGTTGTTGCCTTGAAAAGGAACTAAAACAAAGTCTAATGTAGCTTCACTTTCAGGTGCTGCCGCCACCGGCGCCTGAAGTGCCTCTTCGAGGATCACTCCCATTTCCTTTACATTGCTTCTGCCTTTGTCCAGCAAACCTGAGAGACAGTAGCGAGAAACAAGGAAGGCCTCCAACCGAATAGCAATGGCCTCCAACCTAAAAGCATTGCTGGATGTTCACAGAAAACAGTTGAACCAGCCTTGCAGCTCCCGAACCGCTGTGAAGAACCTTGCTCGTCAGCTGCTTGTTGATGGAGAAACAACTTTCTTTCAGGATGGACCCGCTCAGTGCAAAACTCTCGCATAAAGCTGTCTTCCTGACATGTGTCGCATGATGTCGCACGTGCCGTGTTTGACCCTGCTGGGTCAGGAGGACCCTCCCTTTTGGTCTAGGCGTTGAGCTTTCTAGCACTTTCGTGCTGTCGGCTGGTTCATCTATATAGTGGACTGCGTGGGTGATAAAGACACAAGTTGCCATGTTGCCATCAAACATCTGCCAAGCTTCCAGGTTTGGGGCAGCTGGGGGACCTCAGCTCTTTCTTGTCTCTCCCTTGCGCTTCTCCGACTGTTTTTGAGAATCGGGCTGCTGAAAGCCAGAGCGGACCTGCTAGCGGTGCCATCAAGGCCGCCTCCAAGCCGGGGAAGCACCGCACATGCAAATCCCTTTGCAGTCCTTAATCACCTTCGCATCGAAACAAATGGGTGAACTATTGCAGTGTGGACACCGCTTTGGAAGGATAAGACTGATAAGAGATCCCGCGCAAGTCTGAACAGGCCTACAGTCAAGGGCAAATCCGGGCAACACACATGCAGCGTTCCTGAAAGACCTCGACTTTGTGCTGGCCTCAGGAGACTCGTTCCATCTTGGGAGCAAATTGAGGAACTGGAAATCCAAGCAGAAAGGGAACGGAGGCCATCGCTACTACTAGGTTGGAGGCCATCGCTACTAGTAGGTTGGAGACCATCGCTACTA